TTAGTTGACCCGCTGCAGCTCGAAGAGGTTGTCCCTGATGGTGGCCTCCTCGGGGTCCTCGCCGGGGAAGCCCTCGGGCGCCGCCGCCTCGGGGAAGTTGTTGATGTAGTCGTCGGACACGGGCGACTGGACGACCTTCGAGCGCGGGCGCGTGATGGGCGTGGCGGGCGGCGCAGCACCGGGCGCCGCGTGTTGGGCACCAGGACGCGCCCGCGCTTCTCGCCCGCGGGCGGAGGTAGTGGCGGCGGCCGCCTCCGTCTTCGAGGCGGAGGGCGGGGAGGACAGCGAGGAGGAGCTGCTCTTCTGCTGACTGCTGCTGCTGCTCTTGCTCTGCTGCTGCTGCTGGACTTCTCCAGCTTCTGCAGCATGCCGGCGGCCGCGAGCAGCTGCGACGTGCTGGTGCGGCTCGACGTCGACTCTGACGACGACGACGACGACGACTCCTGCGGAGGCTCTGGACGAGGCGCTGGCTGGGGAAGAGCCTCTGCAGGCGCGGGGAGGGTGGGTCCGCCGGGGGAGTCTGAGGGGGGCCTGAGCTCGGTGCTGGGAGGGTGGGGGGTCCTGGGGGGTCCCGCCACGGGCGTGAACACGGGCGCCACGATGAAGGGCATAATGGGGATGACGGGCGGGAGCGGGGTGCCGGCGGGGGCGTCCGCGGGGTTAGAGGGGGTGGTGGTGGCGGCGGGCGTCGCGGTGGCTGCCTGAGTGGTTAGTGGGGGGGAGCCTGGAAGGAGGGCGGGCGGTTAGACGGGCGGGGAAGGGGCATGCGACGCGCTCTGATTGCATGGAGGCTCGATGCCTGGGGATGCATGTCCGTCAGTCACAAGTCAGGCATGCACTGTGTATGTTGTGGGGGGAGGGGGAGGGAGGGAGTGGCACGGGTAAGCCTGGGAGGGGCGTGGGGGCGTCTGGGAGGGGCACGGGTAAGCCTGGGGGGGCGTGGGGCGTCTGGGAGGGCACGGGGGGGGGGGGGGGCAGGGGAGTTGTTAGTGAGTTAGTTACCAGTTCTGGTGTTAGTAAAGAATGTGCCAGGTCTTCTCCGGTCGAGGCGGGCGCCGAAGGGAGGATGGGGTCGCGTCTCTGGGGGAAGACGAAGCCGATGTTGTTCCTCTGCGGCTGGACCTCCGAGAGCGCCTTGCCCGAGCCGCCGCGCCGCGCACGTCCACTACGCTGTGATGCTGCAAGAGGGAAGAGGTCGTTAGTTTCCGCTTTCTGCTGCTTCTCTTTCGCTTCTTTCGCTGGGGGGGGGGGGGTGAAAAGTCCTCTAGGGGGTGAATGTTTGTTCGGTTAAGGTGGGTCTTTTTTTATGAATGCATTGAAGGGGTGTGTGTCGTTCACGTTAGCCTATGCAGTCAGAGTTTATGTCATTCACAGAACTAAACAGAGTCGTCCGTCTTCCCTTCTTCCCCGGCTGTCATGGGTGGCCTAAGCGTCATACCTGCGGCAGTCCTTTCGTCAGCGTGTCCGTCATACTTACGTCTGCTCCTCGTCAGCCTTCTCGGCAGGAGGAGCCTCCGTCGGGGCCTCCTCCCGCTCTACCTCAGTCACCTCCTGGCGCTCCACCTCCTTCACGATACCTTCGGCTTTCAGCCCCTTGGTGTCCTTGGCGCCGTCCTTCTTCAGGTCGCTTGCGAGGACGACGGAGACGCTGGGGCGCCGCCTGAGGGTGCCGCGGGTCCTGGCCACGAAGCGCCCGGGGGTTCTTTGCGAGGAGAAGGGGCGGCGGGCGAGCGGGCGGATGCGCCTGCGCAGGATCACTCCGCGGGGCGTCGACGGCGAGGGCTCGGGGGCCGCGGTCGTGGAGGGCGCCTCGGTCTCCTCTACCGCCTCTTCGGTCGTGGTCGAAGGCTGCGGGGTGGTCGTGGTGGTCGGTCGGTTGTGGGTGCAGTGGTGGTGGTCGTGTTGTGGGTCTGGCAGTGGTCGTGTGTGTGGTGGTAGATTCAGTTGTGGTAGTAGGTTCAGGTGTGGTAGTGGTTGTTGTTGTGGTGGTGGTCGGTCTGGGTCGTGGTCCGGGCGGTAAACCTGGTCCGCTTTTCCTCCGCGGCGGCCGCCTTGTCGCCCGCGGAGACCTTGGCCTGCACGAGCGAGGACAGGGAGTTCCCGGCGCCGCCGACCTTCACGGACCTTCCGGTCCCGCGCGTCTCGCGAACGGTCTCCTCACCTGCGAATCGGGTCCTGGGCGAGCGGTTGCCGAAGACGATCTGGACCCGCTGGCCCGGGGCGCTGTACTCGAAGCCCGCCTCGTCGCTGTCGAAGGGCTTGAAGTTCCTGACCCGACGGGGCGCTCCCCCCTCGGGCTTCCGCCGCACGACCAGCGGCCTGAACCTGGGTCCGGCCGACTGACCCCCCGAGACCGCGCTCGCTCCCTGGCTTTGGGTTAGACTCTTTGCTGTGTTAGCGGCGCTCGAAGCCGGGGCTGCTGCGCGCACGTCGCTTGTGTCAGTGAGAGAGGTGCTGGAAAGACGAGGGCGAGAGGTCAGAGGCCAGCAGACGGGAAGGTCGTGGAGGCTGTGAGCTCAGGTCAAAGGCCGGGCAGGTTCCAAAAGGACGATGAAGCTCAGTCTCAGAATATTTGAATTACAGCAAATCCAATTCTTTTTTTTTTTTTTTTTTTAGTTTTATGACTGTACATGTCGATCGCGTCATTGTGGAACCAAGAGCTTTTGAAGGCGACCAGAGTTTGCACCGAGAGGTTAGTGGAAGAGGAAAGAAAACTTGCAGAAAACCTGACCGACCAAGAGTTGATAGAGACGAAATTCCAAAATTCTAAACGTTACCAAGGTCTTCATGCTGACCAGAGTAAAGTTGTTTCCTATATAGAAGATCTATAGAAGCTATAGAAGGAAGCTATATATAGCAGCTATAGAAGATGATCCCAAAGTCTTGCAACCAGATTACCATGCAAAAAAAAAATCACTAATTACAGGTATAAATTAACCATTCCTCGCGAGTCTGTATATCCCAAATATGTGCAGTGAATAACCCAAATCGAAATTTTGAATTCCAGTGTGCAGAGGACGTGCCTTGAGATGTGAATAAAAAGGAAAACCCCATTGCCTTCAAGTAAAGTAATTTTAGCGTTAACAAAAATAAGGATTCCTCACTTTAATTTGCCATGAACCAAAAAAATACCAATAATGCTTATAGCTCTGATATATTTTGAGCTCACACAATATAAAGAAGTTATCCCTTAAGATTTTACTCAAAGAAAACGAGATCTCCCAAGTTCAAAGAAAATGGGAATCTAATTTCACCGAAAGGCTTGGAAATTTTTACAAAACCCAGTTTCGCTATAAAGTGAGTCTCGAACTAATTATAAAAAATCAAGAGGGGTTTTATCATGGAAAAACGGACTTGATTTAGGACTAACAAACAAAAGAGGGGACGGAGAGAGTTTTAAACCGACCAAAAATGATTCAAAAAGGCACTAATGTTGTGTGAGACAACCCTGTTTCGAAGCAAGGATCGAGATGCACTGAGAAGCAGGGGACAGAGGTGGAAGAAAGCGTTGGGCCAAAGATCGCGATTTTAATGTCTTGAGGATTACTAAGCACGAGGCAAGGAAAGTTTATCGGGGGGGAAGGAGGAAGAGGAAGAGGAGGAGGAGGAGGAGGAGGGTGGAAGCGGTGGCGGTGGAGTGGGCGGAGTCGAATCTTCTTCGAAAATTTTTTCTTCGTTTCTTCTGAAGGGCGATGACGCGGTTGATCACGTGACCTTGGGTGATCTGGTGACCTTTGACGACCTTGGGTGTTCTGGGACGTCCTTTCGAGGTGGAGGGGATGGGGAGGGAGCGGCGACGGAGGGTGGTGGAGGGAGGAGGAGGGTACGACGTCGAAAAGTGATCACTGATGACGTCACTCCCGCGCGTGTTAGGTCAAGAGAGGTCACGTCAAGGGCTTCGTCGTCAATTCGAGGCGGGACTAAGGTTGTCATAAAATTTCAACCAGACTTAGTGGGTTAGTATCTTTTTACACATAAAACACAAACAACATATATTTCTACCATTAGTACTTGTTAAAACACACAACAACAACAACAACATGAGTCTCACAGTATGTACTCGAACGTGGTAGTCAACAACACACAGAAATGAGTATGTGAATATACCCCTACCAGGCATACCACAGTACTCTCACCATGATTATCTACCACTGAGTATCTACCATTACCCTTATCTACTCAAGCAATATCTACCAACGCACACTCAACATATAATACAAAAGAACAGAACAACACATAATCTACATGTACAATTACTTACCAATATCTAAATTACTCAACAAAGATTGTTAGTATACTTTGCACTGTGGTATATTGTGTTAGTATACAGGTGGAGAGCTACCATTCGGTGTTGTGGTTATTTGATATGTTATTTGATATCTAAATGTCTTAAAATCTATAATATACATGATAGAAGCTAAGAGCATGTCTGTGAACAATGTAATTTAAATATTCTACACTTGGTCAACGCTAATCAGAATGTGATTTAAAATAATTTCCGTATTTCTCTCTAAGGTACGAAAGCAGCTTTTAACTAGTGAATGAAAAATAGTAAAAACGTTAAAAAAAAAAAAATGCAGAGATGTGAACGAGAAACGAACAATTTCACCAATCCAAGATATACACGAACTGCATATCCCGTATGGCGGAAATGGACACGCATCTCCTCCATTCACAAATCCGCATGAATGAATAAAAAAAAAACAAAAAAAACAGTGGCTCTAATTGTTTACGAAGTGACTATAGTGTGTGAACTCACTCGGTGGCGGGTGGGGAGTACAGCTGATCGGGTTCCTGAGGTGCTGACTCAACCCGGAGGTCGAAGTCATTGGTGAGGGTTCTGTTGGGGTGCAAAGAGTGTGTTATTGGCCTCTCCCTGTTCGCTTGGGCGCGTGTGAGTGCGGGCGAGTATGTGTGTGTGTTTTGCGTGCGGACACCCACGGGACTGAACAAAGGTGAACACCACACAGGAACAGTATTTTGGTGAAAACATACAACACACACTAAAGGACGTGCATTTTTGGACAAAAAAACAAAACAAAATTGACGTTTGGACATATAGACAGACAGACGGACAAATAGACATAGACATGGCAACAGAGAACAAGACAGGATGGGGATTTCAAAAGCACTTACGGTGACGGGACTTCCTGGATAACATCAGGTGCAGCGGAGTCAAGGAGAACGCTGTGAAAATAAGGAACCAAGGTCAGACATGGTGTGTACATCGTGTATGCGTGTGCGTATATGTATGTGCATATACACACACATTGGCACTTCAGTCGACTATATGTCATATGCGAATGTGTATGTATATCTAATGTGGAAAGGTATGAATGAGAACGAATATCTTCACAATACAAGAGATATTCGTTCTCATTCATACCTTTCCACATTTGTCAACATGAATACGGTTCATGTATATCTAAACAAACACACATTTGCACTTAAGGGTCGACTTATATATCATATGCGGGTGTGTATGTATATCTACTATATACAAACATACATTTGCACTTCAGGGTTGATTTATATATTATATGCGAGTGTTTATGCATCTCTATATATACAAACACACTTGTACTGCAGGGTGATGCCTCTTAAAAGGTCTGTTGTTTTTCTTTCTCTCTTTAACAGTTAAAGAAAGGGAGGTGGAAGCGACAGGCATCGATTCATTCGTTCATCCTTGGATTAGTAAGTGTTGGGGGGAAAAAATCAAAAAATCCATTTACACCTTATTAGTACGTTCCTAATTCCGTCAATTAGTTCAAGTACAAAAATATCGCGCGCTGCTAAATAACAGGATCTAGCGCTGCGCATCCGAGTGTTAGTCTACGGCCCTCGAGGATGAGGAGCGAGGCACAATGCACTTGGTTTTGAGGAGAGAGGATGAGAGAAAACAGTCTCGTTCTTGGCGACTTACTTGGATGGCGGGGCGACTTGCAGGGGGTCCTGGGAGAAGGGGGGGAAGGATGGGGAGGAAGAGGAGGAGGAGGAGGTGTCAGCCAGGGGGAGGGCGCTCATGTCGGGGGTCTTGACCTGGGGGGAGGTGGCAGCGAGGGGCACGCCGATGGCATCCTGCACGGCGGCCGAGGAGAAGGACTGGAGCAGCTGGGGCTCGGACACGGAGTTGAACTGGACGGGGGACACGGGGATCACCTGGCTCTGGCCGGGGTTGCTCGGGAAGATGGAGGCGTCCTGGCCGACGGAGCCCGCGCCCGAGAGGGGCACCTGCACGATGGAGCCGCTGCCGAAGGCCTGCGGGGCGGCCTCGGCCTGCTCGACGGCGGGGAAGGCGGGGGGAGGAGGGAAGTTCTGAGAGCTAGCGAAGTTGCCTTGGGGCACAACGGCGCTGAGGGGCACGCCGCCCGTGCTCAATGACCCGAGGTTTCCGATGGAAGGGAACACCTGCGTGATCTGAGAGGCGCCGCTGTCTCTCGGGGCTGAGCTCAGGCCTGGCAGGGGCACCCCGCCGGAGGCTGGCTGGGACACGAAGGTGGCCTGTGGCTGGCCGGCATCAGGGGCAGCAGCGGCGCCCTGGGAGAAGGAGGAGAAGGAAGCATCCTCAAGAATCCCTACGGTGCCCTGAGGTCCGATGCCGTTCCCCTGAGAGAGAGGAATGCCGCCAGATACCAGGATCCCGTCGGCCTGGGGCGTGAAGAGGTCGGGGGCGCCGGCCACGACGTTCGTGAGCACAGCCTGCTGGATGTTGCTCTGCGGCGCCGACACATCGCCGGAGAAAGCCTGGCCTGCCTGCGGCTGCTCGACGAACACCTGCTGCGGCTCCGAGACGAACACGCTCTCGGGCTGGGACACGGACACCACCTGCGGCTCGGAGATGGACACGACCTCGCTGCCGCCGGGCGCGCCCTGGCTGGAGCCTACGAACTGGGGGGAGCTCAGGCCTTGCAGGGGGACGCCTACTGCGGCTGAGGTGTCCTGGAGAAGCCCTTCGGTGCGGATGTCGGGAAGGCCAGACTGAGGAATGCCGCTGGACACCAGGATCCACGGCCAGATCGGGGGGAATGTTTCGTGACCATGGTGAGCACAGCCTGCTGGATGTTGGTCTCGGGAGCGGAGAAAGCCTGTTCCGCCTGCGGCTGCGCAACGGACACCACCTGCGGCTCGGAAATGGACACGCTCTCGGGCTGGGACACGGACACCACCTGCGGCTCCGACACGGACAGAACCTCGCTGCCACCGACCGCGCCCTGGCTAGAACCTACGAACTGGGGGGAGCTCAGGCCGGGGAGGGGGACCCCCGAGCCCTCCTGAGGAACCCCTTGGGATCGAATATCGGGAAGGAAGGATTGGGTAGGAGGTTGGGCATCTTGGAGCTGGATGACGGAGAAAGGGGCGTCGCCAGCTGGATCAAGCAGAGTCGCCGTCAGTAGGCTGGGGAGACATGCAACACCCTCGTTAGCATGCACATGGCACTTCCGGGGCACGGGGCGGGAAGGACGGCGGCCGGGGCTACTTTAGGGCTACCCTAAGCAATCCCGCTTCCTATCATGGTTTCCTTTATCATCCTTACTATTATTTTGTTTATTCATTTACTCTTTTGAGGGACGTGGCTCAAGTGCACAGCGAATGCGAGGAATTGAATGAGAATCCAAAGTGACGAATGTAGAAACGTGTAAATAAAATTCAAGAAAAGGGAATCATTGTTAGATTTAAAAAGAAATAAATCATAGATCACGTTCCCAGTGTAATGAAAGGCATGAATGAGAATGAATAAACTTCACAGCGCAAGGGATGTAGTTGATACATGTCGATTAAGTATTCGCCACAAACGCATCAATTACATATCTTTCGTCTAAAGAATTATTCATTCCCATTCATACATTTTTCTTCACAGGAAAAGGATCTATTTACCAAATCTAAAAATGACTTTATGGTGTTGAAAAATGTCATCAAATATAATCCGTTAAGGTGTCACTCCTTTTATCATTTTTATCTTCAATACTAATCCGTATTTGGAATTTCGTTTTTAATATTCTCCATGCACAACAACGTGCAAAAATGAATAACAGTTTCCTTCAGAATCTACCGCAAGTTATCCATGCCTGTGTTGAATTATATACAATTCAACTGCATTATATTTCATCTACAGAATAATGAATATATCAGTCTACGTCAATAAAAAAAAATGAAGGGCGGACAGTACGTGCTTAAGTAGTGCTGATAAAGTGTATATGTGTGTGCGTGATAAGTTTGTAAGTGTATATGTGTGTGCGTGTGTAAGTATAAGTTGTAAGTGTGTATATGTTGTGTATGTGTAAGTATATGTTTGTAAGTGTGTGTGTGTGTGTAAGTATGTTGTAAGCGTGTGTGTGTGTGTGTGTAAATATATGAAAATATATGTTGTGTATGGAAAGTATATGTAAGTGTGTGTGTAAATATATGTGTATGTTTGTGTATGGAAGTGTATATGTGTGTGGTGTGTGTGTGTGTGTGTGTGTGTGTGTGTGTGTGTGTGTGTGTGTGTGTGTGTGTGTGTGTGTGTGTGTGTGTGTGTGCGTCTATAAATATGTGCATGTATGTGTGTGCCTAAATTACGGGGATCTTTAGTACATGTGTCCAGTTCTGGGTAAGTATACAGGAAAAATATGTGATATATAATACATATAAACAGTGTGCTTCCTTTTTATAAAGTATGAGTATATCTTATATTTGTGCAGAAGTGTGCTTTCTTTTAAAAAGTGAAAATATAACATCCTTAAAAAAGGATAGTCTCTCTGATTTAGAAATTTTGTTTTAATATATGGAAATTATCAAGTGAAAATGGTCCATTGGATATCATTCTGGTTTTGATACTTTTTAAGATGTAAAGTGAAAAAAGGTTTATTTGATATTTTGGTTTTGATGCTTTTAAGATGTAAAGTGAAAAGGGTTTATTTGATATCAACTTGATTTTGATATATGGAAAATGGAATGTGGAAATGGTTTATGTGAGAGTGACATGGATTATGGATGTCCTGTGGAAGTCTTAGGGAGATGTTCGTATGCCAGGAACCGACATTGGATCCTGGGGGTGGGAGGGGAGGGGGGGGGGGGTTAAGGGTACTTGGGACAGCCCTGGGCTCGAAGGACCACTCACCTCTGCTCTTCCGGTTGGGACACGGTCAGGATCTCGGGCTGGGACACGGACACGACTTCGGGCTGGGACACGGAGGCGATCTCGGGCAGGGACACGCCGAGGGACTGGGGCTCCTGGGGGGCGCCGAAGGTCTCGTCCACGAACTGCGCTTGGCCGACGGTGGTGACGTCCTGGAAGCCCCGACGCGGATGGCGGTGTCGGGGATGGCGGTGTCGAAGGCGATCGGCTCGTCGGACGCGAGGAAGTCCTGGATGGTCACCGGGTTCTCGACGAGGACGGGGTCTTGGAAGGTCGCCGGGGTCTCGTACACGGCCGGGACGTCGGGCTCGGACACAGCACCTCGGGCTGGGACACGGACACGATGGTGGGCTCGCCGATGGACTGCAGGGCCGGACACGGACACCAGCTCGGGGAGTCCTGGAGATCCTTCGGAGGAGCTGAGGAAGATGGGCTGGCCGTCGCTGATGATCTGGGGCTCCGAGAGGGAGTAGGTGATGTCGGGGAGGGGGGCGCCGGTCAAGCTGCAAGAGGGGCGGGAGGGAAGTTAGATTCACGGGCGTTTATTCCAGATTTAAGAATATGATATCAATTTCATTCATAAAAGTCAAACGCGAAGGAAGGGGTTAGTTAATCATGCACAGATATTTTCTTTGATATCTTGCTCTGACAGAGTGAAATGTGGTCATGCGATCCCCACAGGGATGTCGGGACATGCAGGTGCGGTGGTGGTGTGAGGTGTCTGGAAGAATACTCCAGGACTCAAACCTTCTTTGAGGAGGTTCCTGGCCGGAGGTGTCGATGGACGTGGGGTTGGAGGTTAGAGACGAGGATGGAGGAGATATTGGTGGGGATGGAGATGGCGGGTGAGCCTGTGCCACAGCCTGCGGCATCTCCATCACGGGCATCGGGAAAATAAGCAGAGGCAGAAACACATCAGGGGCGCTGGTGGGGAGCTGGGAGGAGGGGGAGTCTGAGGGGACCAAGTAGGGCACGTCGACAAAGGACAAAGGCATCTGGGGGAGGTTGGGGGACGTCGGGTCGAACGACGCTTGTGGAAGGAGTGCCTGAAGGAAGCCGGAATCCACGAAGGCGGACGCGGGGGTCACCGTAAACCCGGTCATCTGGACATCAAAGTGGTTCTCGCGTTGGGGCTCGACCTCTGGGGGCGGCACCAGGTTCTCCTCTGGAAGCTTAATGTCATTTTGCATCTCCTGAATCTGCTGGAACATCTGAAGCCCTTGCAAGATGTCAAACATATTTATCTGCGCTGGAAACGGAATAGTGGCTGGTTGGATAAGTGGCGCGTGCGTTGGCTCGCTGCCTACCTCGGTGTGAGTACCAGTCATGAGCGTTTCCGAATCAACTTCCATTGCAGGGATGAAGGAATCTAAGGAATTTCCACTGTCCTCTTGGGATCCTTCAAGTAGCGAAACTTTCAGGGGATTAGATTTATTCCTCAGAGCTTCTGTCAGACCAAAGATGGCACCTTTCGAAGCCTGTGTACTCTCAAGGACTTCGCTCGACCCTGCCACAAGCCGCGACAGGGCCAGAAGAAGGGTGGGGTCCGGAGCCAAGGAGGTTGTCTCGGACCCTATCAGTATTTCCCGCACGCCTGATGTCTCCGGGGCCAGGGTCGAGTCGTTGGCCGACACTTCTTCCTCAAGCGAGAGGTCATTTGAGATCCCAGTTGTGAAGAGTTGCAAGTTGGAGAAATCCGTCGCAAAGCCGGATTCTTCATCACTCTCTTCGGCAGAAATTTCTGGGAGGAAAGCGTCAGCGAGATCATCTTCTGGACTGATGGGAGACGCGATCTGTGCCATTTCTGATAAGGAAACATTGACAGGTTGTTGTTCCTCATTCTGGGCAGTTCCATTGGGTAAAAACACAGCTTCGGTGCCCTCTGATATTCCCACAGTTGAAGACAAGAAAGAGCTTTCTCCTAAAGACACATTCTTGATCCCGGAACCTGACTCTGATCGCAAATCATCTTGGAAACCGGTAAAATTACCCTGTATTATTTCCTGGCCATTTCCGATGTTCCCAAGCACCTTTGGCAGAGTGAAGGAGTTCAATTCAGGCAAGTCAAAGAAAGGATTGATGAAGATATTGTTATCCTCGGTGCCTTTTTCTTCTGGACCGTCGTTCTCTTCGCCTTTATCGTCCTCAATGCCCACAGCAGATGTGGTGAGATTCATCTGCGCATTTTGTGAAGAATTAGCAACGGAATCATCGACGACAATAATCGACGTGTTGCGAGACAGGTCGAGGCTTTTGCCAGAGGAACCCAGGCCTTGGTCTACGATTACTATGGCAGGGAGCTCTGGAGGTTCGGCAACATCTACGGTCTCTGGCTGAGAGGCTGAGATAGTCTGCGGGTGACTGATGTTCGAGACCTCTGCCTCCGACACCGAAATCACCTCAGGGTTACTTGCGTTCCCCTGGGAGGAAGAGATAAAGACCGGGGGCGACAAGACAATTTCCGTGACTTCGCTGTCTGGGAGGAAAGAAGCGTCTTCTGTCTCCGTCACGAGGCTCGGTATGGGTAAGAGCAGTGATGTTGAGTTCTCCACCACGGAAGCGGGTGTTGAAGATGGACCGTCAGAGGAAGTGTTAAAGAAGAAGTCTGTGGTTGGATGGTCGTCTCCCTTGGCCACTTCACTCTCTTCAATCTCGTTTCCAGTGAAGGAAACTGTATTCAGATCCCTCACCAAGTCCCGTGGGAAGTCGGGATTCACATCACCGACCAGCAGTACCGAAGTGTTGCCGATCGTGTTCGATTCGGTGACGTCAAAAGCGTCTGCGATATCAACAACTTCGGTCGAATCTACAACAACGCTTGGTGGCTGATCCGAAGGACCGGGAGAACGAGAACCTTCCAGAGCCTTGTCCAGAACTAAGGCATTATCCTCGCCGCTTTGACTGAGGAGGAGGTCATCCTCGGCGCTCAGATTCAGGAGGCCGACGAAGGAGGAAAGATCTAAACCCGTGGCATTTTCCCCGCCGTCCGACACCTCCTCTTCGCTGGCGTCGGGTAGGATCAAAACATCTTCCTGTCCTTCGCTCAAGAGGAGGATATCTGGGCTAGGAGGGCTAGGGATAGGGGACGAGGAGGGATTAAGGATCGTGGTGGCGGGGGGATTCGGTCCTTCGGTGCCGACCGGGGCTCGTAAGCGTCCGAAAGCTCCTAAGTCAACAATGGCGGGCGGGGAAGATCTGTCGGTTCACACCATTAGGGTTAGTTGGTCTTTGCCGGGGGGATACGTGGCTAGTTGGTTCTTGGCGGGGGAAACGGGATTAGTTCAAAATGCTATTAATGCTGTTAGTAATTCGCTGTGTCTCTTCACTACTAGTCTACCTTTGTTTCTATTTTTTTTAATTAGTATACAATAACCGCCATGACGAGGAAAACATAAAACTGATGGTGTAGAAAATGTAGACAATTCTACGTTAGTGTAAGTTTCCAGATTTGGATTCTATGATGATGTTAGTTACAAGCAAGTTAGTCATTCTTTCGTAATGCAGTTAATATAGCAAAGCACAAAACACACACACAAAGCAACAACTCAAATTTCAAAAACAAAGCGTTGAAGAATTTTCATTTACATCACAAGAAAAAACGTATTTTTAAAAATTTCTTTCATTCGATCTGAGATCAGATCCAGAATAAAAGATAAAAAATGCAATTAAGAAAAAAAATGCATACAAATAGGCCTACATTCGTTCATCTTTATGATACGAAAATATATCAACATCCCATATCTTTCCCTCCCTTTCAATTTTTTCTATTTTTCCTATTAAATAATGATAAAAAACATTAATTCTTCAACGCTGTGTCTGGAAGCATCATCATCATCATCAATCATCAATCATAATTACCATTCAACGTGCTAAATCACACAAATATGTACATACGAGTTAGTTCATTACAAGTGTTCAAAAAATGTGCTATTTTTTTTTTACTTACACATCGTCAACGGTCACTGGAGCGTCTACAGTAACGATCTATGGAAGAGAAAATAGGTGACGATTTTTAGAAATTATTTTATTTATTTTATTTTATTACTTTATTACTTTTTAAAATTGTATAATCAGTTTTGGTGATTTTTTTATATAATAATCTTTGAATTACTAACTGATTCAATGATGGTTAACCTAATAATTCTAAACTGAATTATTTTTAACCTCATATTCTTTAACTTAACAGTCAATATTATTCTTAGTAACGTTTCTTTTTAGGGAAAAACATCTACAAAATATAAACAATTAGAAATTACGGTAAAAAGGGACATAAACAACAGGGATAAACACACGAACAGACACACACAATCGGACGTAAACAAAAGAACATCGCAAAATGGCGCCATTACTCACATCAAAAGAATTTCGTACAGAATCCTCAGGGAGAAGAGTGATTGCTGGAGCTGCGACATCTGGAAAAAATAAAATGATTGAATTAAAGAAGAGATCGATAAATATCATTGGTGAATAGAAAAGAATTGGAGGAATAGATTAGTGGAATGTAATATATTTGTGACTTACAAGTAAAAGAAAAAATGTACACATCATGATATAATATTAATAAAAAATAACAGCATCAAGAAAGTTGATATCAAGAAAATATCCAGAATAAAAGAGAAATTAATAGATCAAAAGCTGAAGAGAAGAACAGAAATGGGAAACAATAACTACAATTAAAAATAATATCCAAAAATCAGAGAAAAAACGATCAGAAACATAAGCGCAACAAGCGAAGAGGCAATGTAAACAAACAAAACAAACGAGCATCGGACTCCCTACCTTCGGTGATGAAGACAGGCTCGTCAATAGGATCAGAAACCACTGTAAAGGATTCCGTGGCGGGTTCTTCGTTTACAATGAAGACCTCGTTATTCAGGACAGGAAGGGCCACACCGCCTTCGATCACGCGGGGGTCACGAGAGGCATCTCTGTAATTAAGAAATGAGGTCAAATTAGGTCGATTGGTTTGACTGCTATAACTCAGCAGTATATGTTAATATATTATAACTCAATATTTTACTAAGTACGAGAATTCTGAATATCATTCAAGTCAATGCTTCACCAATTAACTACTAAATTCACATTTATTCATTCTAAAGATACTAAAACCCACATAAACACCAATTTTCTGATTCAATTTCCACAATAAACAAGAAATGCAAGGTAAAGAAAACGGGAATTTCAAATAGAAAACTCACTCTACAATGAAAATGGGTTCGTCCTCAATAGGGGTGTCTGTGTTAAACCTGATGTCGATAGCGGGCCTGTAGGGAAGAAAATGGAAACTTCTGACTTTTGTTTATGATTGATTACTAATCTTTTATTATCAGTAATCGTCATCATCATGAGTGTGACAATTGGTATTACTATTATTGTTATCATAATTATTATAATATCAACAGCATCATTATTATCAGTATAACATTACTCCTATTATCATTATCAATTCACCATCATTAGTCATTACCATCATTATCTTCAATTTCTCATCATTCCCATCATTATCTTCTTCAATCATCCCACCATTATTCCCATCATTATATCATATCATCAATTTATCATCATCCCCACCATTATTCCCATCATTACTATCATTATCATCAATTTATCATCATCCCCACCATTATCATTTCAATTATCATACCATTATTACCATCATAATCTTCAATTTTTCATCATCCTCACCATTATTCCCATAATTATCTTCCATCATCCCACCATTATTCCCATCCCCATCAATCATTATCTTCAATTTTTCATCATCCCCACCATGTCATCATTATCTTCAATTCTTCATCATCCCCACCATTATTCCATCGCATTATCTTCAATCACCATTATATCATTATCTTCAATTTTCATCATCCCCACCATCATTACTATCATTATCATCAATTTATCATCATCCCACCATTATTCCCATCATTACTATCATTATCATCAATTCATCATCATCCCCACCATTATTCCCATCATCATTATCATCAATATCAATTTATCATCGCTAAAAACGCCAAACCCTCCGCCATACTCACGCCGGGGGGGAGATCTCAATGATCCCAGGAGCCGACACTTCGCGGCCAACCTCGACGGAGTCAATGGGAGCAGGACCCACGGGGGCGACGGGCAGAACAGGAGCAACAGGGGCAACAGGAGCGATGACGGGGGCAACAGGAGCCACAGGGGCCACGGGAGCGATGACGGGGCCGGAAACATCCATGGGGACCCAGGGGGCTTGGTCACAGGCTTCGCAATCGGGCTTCGTGGGGAGGGGGCGGTTGAGGTCAGGCAGGGGGGCCGAGGGGGAAGGAGGGGATTGTAGCTCCCCGTGGGGAAGGGGACGGGAGCCACAGGGGCAGGGGCGGGGCGATAGGGGCGGGGGAAACACCGTAGTTGTCTGTGGGGAATGGCACAGGGGCGACGGGAAGGGGTGGGGGTGCGTAGTTGTCAGTGGGGACTGGCACGGGGGCGGAGGGACTGGGGGAGGCGTAGCTGTCAGTGGGACTGGCAAGGGGCGGCGGGGACTGGCACGGGGGCGGCGGGGACTGGGGGGAGGCCGTAGCTGTCAGTGGGGACTGGCACGGGGGCGGCGGGACTGGGGGGAGGCCGTAGCTGTCAGTGGGGACTGGCACAGGGGCGACGGGAAGGGGTGGGGGCGCGTAGTTGTCAGTGGGGACTGGGGGGAGGCCGTAGTTATCGGAGGGCACCGGCACGGGGGCGACGGGGACTGGGGGAGGCCCGTAGTTGCCTGAAGGGACGGGGACCGGCAGGGGGAACGGGTGGGGCGCCGTAGTTACCTGAGGGGGCGATGATGTCTCCTGGCTTGGGGGCGCCGTAGCCGGGTTGGGGGGCCTGGGGCACGCCGTATGAGGGGGAGGGCGACGGGGGGGGAGGGGGAGCGTAGGAGCCATGGGGAGCAGGAGGTGGGGCCGTAGTTACCCTTGGTGGGGGAGGGGTGGCCGTAGTTACCCTTGGGTGGGGGAGGGGGTGGGCCGTAGTTACCCTTGGGGGCGGGGGGTGGGGGCCATAGTGTCCCTTGGGGGCGGGGGTGGGGGGCCATAGTGTCCCTTGGGGGGGAGGGGGTGGGCCGTAGTTACCCTTGGGGGCGGGGGTGGGGGCCATAGTGTCCCTTGGGGGGAGCAGGGGGAGGACCATAATTTCCCTTGGGGAGCGGGGGGTGGGGGGCCATAATGACCCTTAGGGGGGGCGATGGGGAGAGGGGGCGGCCCGTGAGAGCCCTTACCCTTACCTCCCTGGCCCTTGCCCTTGCCCAGGAATGGGGCCTTGGGGGGGGGAGGGCCGTAGCTGCCCTTGGGAGGGGGAGGGGAGGCCCGTAGGCAGGGCGCGGGGCGGGCCGTAGGCAGGAAGCGGGGCGGGGTGGTACTCCTGGCCGCCGCCCTTGCCCTTCCCGAAGCTGAACAGGTCCTTGATGCCCTTGAAGATGTCGAAGTCGAAGAAGCCGCCCTTGCCGCCTCCTCCCTTCCCCTTGGACGGAGGGGGAGGGGGAGGGGGAGGGGCGTAGACGGGGGCGGGGTACGAGCGCTCCTGGATCACGTGCTCGGGGCCGGACTGCGGGAGCGACGCCACGGCTGCCACCACGGCCGCCAGGACGAACACCTGCGGGAGGAGAACAAGGAAGGTTTAGTTGTAATTCCATCTATTATTAAAGATTTTGTTTTAATTCCATTTATTATTGAATATTAATTTAATTAATTTAATTTAATTAATTTAATTTAATTTAATTAATTTAATTCCATTTATTATTAAAGATTTAGTTGTAATTCCATCTATTATTAAAGATTTTGTTTTAATTCCATTTGTTATTAAAGATTTTGTTTTAATTCCATTTGTTATTAAAGATTTTGTTTTAATTCAATTTATTATTAAATATTTTGTTTTAATTCCATTTATTATTTTAAAAAAATCCATTTATTACAATGGATATTCTTTGCTGTGACATGCTGTCTGTTTTATTTTGCTTCTAAAACTACCCCTGTGTGCAAGGAATGGCCGGGGTGACCATCCACTGGCAGCGCGCGGGATCGAACGCAAGTCAGCAAGATTGCTAGACGAACACAGCAGACGAAAGGAAGCCTAAGTCATGGTCAAGGACTCATGAAATGTGTTCGTAAGGATAAAGGCCAAGATATGTCGGAGGATTAATTTTTGGAGTCAAATAAATAGGACATGGCCAATAATTCTATTTATTTATTTGTTTAATATTTCTTTTATTCGTATCTGGTTTAGTGAAATTGGAGGATTGTTGACATTGAGAAAGAAAGTGAATGACTCCCTCGCCAAACTAAAAATATATATTCTATTTTCCTTAAATTCATTTGAACACCAAATAATAAGTTAAATAGCCTACATTTTATCTTGAATGAAGTAAATTACGTGAGAAAGTCTTAAGAGTATTGAAGAAAAAACAAAAAAACACTTAGTCTCTATAATATAGAAATTCAGTGTTTAACCGATCCTAGCTGTGACGTCACTCGCGCGGTATTCAAATGGGTACGTCTTCTCGCTAGAAAAACTTTCCCAGGTTATACGCGGGAAGAGAGAGCGTGGTGGAATTTCGCTCTTATGTACCCGTGTCATAAAGACGAAGCGACGAGAGAGAAAGGCGGGTTAGCTGTTCATACCCATATTACCCACTTTCCCTATCGCACGTGTACTGCTATAAGACTCATGTTCCGATGCTTTGCCATTGGACGCGTAGCCCTTACGGATACGGTCGTTAAGGGCAAAAGTTGGTCAGAGCGCTTTCAGAAAAAAGAAAAGAGAGAGAAAAAAAATGGCGGATGATTGCTCGCCGCCGTCTCTGGACCGTCCGTTTTCTTTCGTAATGTAGAACGCTGCTAATCTTTTTCTTTCTGTTTCTTTTCTCTTAATTCAGATTCTTCAACTTTACGGATGTTTTACGAGAGGTCTGGAGGAAAGCGAGGGAAAAGGGGAGGCCGGAATATGAATCGTAAGTGGATGTGAGCAGAGGAAGTCTCACTTCCGGGAAAGAAATCTGAAGACAAGAAAGAGGATTCGGAAGGAGGATCCAGTACCGCAAGGCATGGTATAAGTGGCATTAGATTCCACATCGGGAAACAAAAGAATACGATCGGGATTAATGGAGCAATGAGCGATCTTAATCAAAATACAAAGCGCTTATGCAAAAAAAGAAGTAAAGAAATAAAAGAAAAAGCACTTAAAAAGGAGGATAGAGACAGGTGTATCTCATGTAACCGAAAATATGTAGGTCACGAGTCGCCGGATACGCAAACTGATGGATCCCAGACACATGAACATCGAGAAGCGTGTGATATTTTTTTTTTTTACCACACATTTCCCGCCAAAACCTATAAACAAACAGACAAATAAATCAACACCACCGTCACCATACCAAGAGAGAGAGAGAGAAAAATAAGTAGAAATCTCCCCTCACCCCCTCCCTCGCCTCTATCTTTATTTCAGACCCTAATAATTAAGCCCAGTTGGAGGTATAACATCGGCGTAATGAAAGGGAGACACGAGCAGGCGCCATTAAGACCATACGCACATGTCTAACCTTACCACATGCTCCGCCGCCGGGTAGAGGAGTGGTAGCCCATGGTAATGGTGGGAATGGGGAAGGGAAAAAAAAAAGAAATGGGCCTAGTCATCTTCACTTTCCTTTTCCATTAATTTGGAGAAGTTCGGGCGGGCAGGTGGTAAGAATTTGAAAGGATTTCCCTCCCTCCGGTTTTCTCCTCCTTCCGGAAAACGGTTTTGATATCGTATAATAATTGTTGTTAGGTTAATATCTTCGATTTTTTTTCTCGGATTCTAATGCTATGGTTTGTCGTGACAGGAAATAACATTCTTGAGCGTTTAACATGACAAATTGGTTGCCATCTGATGAAAATACCAATCCCTTTAATTCACGTCCACAAAAAAATAAGAAAAAAATAGAAAACGGAAATTTCACCTAATCTTACCGTATGTTATTAAGGGTTAGAATCGCGTAATGCTTTTGTTTATAAGAATCGACGGGAGGAAATAGACTCGTCGTATCAAATCTCACCTAAATACCGTTTACGAGAACATTAAAACCAGAAAAAAAACAAGTTAAAATATAGCCTCAAACCCCAGCAGAAATGGCGGGAAAAAATTGGCACATGCGCAAACGAATGCCTTGTCACTATTAGAACCATTATCCCATTAGCGTCTGTGATTCCCTCGTCTCCGGGAGTTGGAGCTGCGATGATACACTCGAAATAGCCCATTAGCATGAGTTACCGTTCTGTTTATCTGCCGTAATAACAGGTTGACATCTCAGCTGACGGGGTTGGTAAGCAAAATGGCGTCGGCTGTTGACTGGTGACTCGCTAAGAATCGCTTTTATTTGAGGGCCAATTTCCGTTAAATGGGGACCGAAAATTGCGGATTGGGATGGTTAATAAGGCTATTTTGTACTTGTATGGCTTATGATTTATAGGTTTTGCTGGCTCGGGAGTGATATTTCATTTCTATCATGCTCGGATCTTGAAGTGATTGATGCGAATGGAATATGAATCCGAAATTGTAGACATATTTGATTTTAATATATTTCCCATCAGAAATACCTCATCCATTTTATAGTCTCTTGTTCAGAGGCCAATAAAGAAATCCCCATTTGTTCCTGCATAATTTTCAAATCAACTTTCGACGCAGTTATGCATGATTCGATCAGCTGACATGCGCAAGCACGATAATCCGTCTCGAAAATCAGCGTTCGCACAGACAGCGTTCTTGTAAGACAAATGCACGGATTCACGTCATGAGATCCGACTTATAATTACATTAGACGTTTTGCGTGACCTGGAAATAGATGATGAACGCGTCCTGCGCAAGAGAGGAAGGAAAAGAAAAGGAAAAGAAACACCTTTTCATTCATCACATCGCGAAGAAACCACATCACTAGCGCCGCCCTTGCGGTGGCGGGCGGAAGCACATCCGAAAATGGCAGTTGTGCCGTATTTTTTCGAAATTCTCTTGTTCTTTTTTTGTATCTTAGTTATGAATTTTTTCTTTCGTGTATTACAGTGATGAATTTATGTAAAAGTTAAAATGAACTTGATTTGCGCTAATTTACACTGCATCTAAATACGAGATAGAGACACCTGGGTCAAAGGCAAATGGAAGACCGAGTCGCCGAGATAAATCTAAATCCCTCTTTTTCTCTCTCTCTCTCGTTTCTCCTTTCTCTCTCTCTCTCTTTGTCCGCATCTCTCTTTCCCTTTCTCTTCCCACACTATTTTCTCTCACGCAGCGCCCCCTACCATGAGATCAGGAGGCTAGTGACCTCAACATAAGCACAATGTTGGGTCGTGACCTTGCAGCAGAAGACGCGCCAAAATGCCTGCTTTCTAGATGCTTCTAGAATTCTTTTTTTATATATTGGATTTACTACTATTTTTTTGGGGGGGGGAGGAGAATTTTTTTTTTGTAACTGTTGAAAGGAAATTGCAGTTGATATGATATTTGCTCACGTCGAATAGAGGAAATGAAGAGAGAGAGAAAAAAAATATGAGAGTGAGAAAAATAAAAGAATTAAGAAGACGAAAACAGAAGACACACGTTAGAGGAAAATGTGAGAGTGAGGAAAATAAAAGAAATAAGATGGAGATAGAAGACACAAAAATAAAACTCTCTTAACTTCCTCCTCCTCCTCCTCTTCCTACCCCCTCTCCCCCCCCTCCTCTTTAGACCAGCTGACGCGATAAAAGAAAAAATACCGAGAGAAAAAAAAGACGAAGAATAAAAATAGATAAGCGAATAAAAAGTAAGTGAAAATAATAAAGAAAGGAGGTAGAAGCAATGAGGTTAGAAGAGTAGAAGGAGATGGGGAAGAAGAAGAAAAGGAAGAAGGGGAAGGAAGAAAAAAGGGTAGGGAAGGAGGAGGAAGAAGACAAAGGAGAACAAAAAATAAGAAGACAGAAAAGAAGAAGAGAGGAGAAGACACAGGACAAGAAGAAGAGAGGATGAATTACAACAATAAGATAGAAGAAGGGAGAAGACCAAGAAGGATATGAAGAATATAAAGAAAAAGAAGAAGAAGAAAGAAAAGAAGAAGAATAGAAGAAAAAAAAATAAAAGAAGAATGAAAAAAAGAAGAAGAAGAAGAAAAGAAGAGAAGAAAGAAGAAGAAAAATAGAAGAAAAATAAGAAAGATAGAAGAGAAAATAGAACTAGAAAAGGAAGGAGGAGGAGGAGGAGAAGGAGAAGGAAGGAGGAGGAGGGAGGAAGGAGGAAGGAGGAGGAGGAGAAGGAAAAGGAAGGGAGGAGGAGGGAGGAGGAAGGAGGAGGAGGAGGAGAAGGAGAAGGAGAAGGAAGGAAGGAGGAGGAGAAGAAAGGAAGAGAAGGAGGAGAGAAGGAAGGAGGAAGGAGGAGGAGAAAAGGAAGGAAGCAGAAGGAGGAGGAGGAAAAGGAAGAGCAGGTTTCGCCCAGGAATCGGGGCCGCCACGAGACGTGCCGAGCATCGCATATGCGGGAGAGAGAAAGTCTAGGTTACGCGGAGTGCAGGCGGCCCCCCCCCCCCCCCTTGCAACTTTCCCTGGCCGGGGCGGACGCTTGCAAGGGTGGTCGTGGGGTAGCTGAGAGGCGGG